AGGGAGGGAGGGAGGGAGGGAGGAAGGAAGGAAGGAAGGAAGGAAGGAAGGAAGGAAGGAAGGAAGGAAGGAAAAGAAAGAAAGAAAGAAAAAGGAGGACTGAATCTGAATGTTAACTCATATACAGGAAACCTATTTCTCTCAAAACATTTCTGGCCTCATAGATCTTTGGGGACACACACTGACAAAACACATTTATAACACTCTTGTCCCACATACTGAGATATATGAAGCCTGCAAATAATGTTTCAACATAGAAATTAAGAAGTAGGATGTGAGGCTGCATAGATGGCTCAGCAGTTAAGAGCACTGACTGCTCTTGCAGAGGAACTTGGTTTGGTTCCCAGTACCCACATAGTGGCTCACAACCATCCATAACTCCAGTTCTAGGGGGATCTGATGCCCTCTTCTGATCTTGTATGTGTATGAGTGTTTTGCCTGCATGTATGTAAGTACACCACATTCATACATATAAAACATTCATACATATAAAATAAAAACAAATTAATTAAAACATGCATGAAAAAATAAAAAATGGCAGTTGTGAAGGTGAGTGTGGCAGCACACACATATAGTCCCAGTACTTGAGGCTGAAGCAGGAGGATCAGGAGTTCACAACTACAGAATGAGTTCAAAGGCCAGGCTGGGCTATCAGAAACACAGCTCAAAAAATAAAAACAAGCAAGCAAAAAGATTATTGTGGAATGAGGGTCAGGATCATCTCTATAAATAACTCCTTTTAATGTGTTTTAGTGGGAAAGTAGCAGTTAGATTTCTGTATCTCAGCAAGAATTGTGTTAAGGACTTATCAGAGCCAAGTATGATTCAAATAAAATATACTAGCAAGATAGATATATCTCATTCTTGTCATGGAGCTAAATCACTTTCTAGATCATTAAATACAATCTGACAGTTTTCAAAGGAGAGATCTATAAACAAACAAATGGATATAAATTTTCTAGTCAAAACACAGGGTATAATTAGTTTGAAAAGGCTGAGAGAACAATGGACCAAGACACATAAATGGGTACTCTACCCCTGCCCAAACCAGCAGGTTTGGTTGGCTACAACCCACAGACCATCAGTTCTCAGTCAGCCATGCTGGTTAGCACTGCCAATTCTCTCGTCTGTTTTGTGCACTCAATTTGGGGGCCAAAATAGCAGATAAAGGACTGAACAGAGCAGTGGCTTAAATGCAGAACAAAATAGTGAGTATCCTCAAGTAATAATCTTGACATTTCACTTCAGTCCTTCAAGTTTTATTCCTGAGAGGAAATCAAAATGCTTACCTCCTCTTCGTTGGTTCTGTTGTGTTCTTCCCAAGGAGTTCTCTAATGAAAAGCAAATACAGCTTGTTACAGATGATCAGCCAGCTAGCTCCAATGTGAATACAGGAGATTTTATAATGTTGATGTTCTTTGTTTTTTTACCAGAACTAATAGACTAACATGAAGCATCACAATGATTACAACATTAAAAATGCAAATAAATCATATATTCTAGTGAAATACCCTCAATAACCCTGTATCTCCAACTGTAACTAAGAAAGTTCACCTAAATTTCAATCTTGTTATTTTGTTAATAAAACATGGAACATGGCTGTCAGTAATTTTCATGAATTGGGATGGTTTTATATTCCCCTAACATGGAGAGATTTTGTTGTAGCACGTTGCAGACACCAATGGCCTGCAACTAGAGTGTACTGGTGGTGTTTATATTAAAATAAGTGTCAAAGCTCTTAGCAAATACTATGGAGAGAAGGGACGCTGGACCAGCTGTGCGGGTCACTCTGCCCTTCTCAAATGCACACCTACTTGCACTCACAGCTGTACATGAACTTTTTATTTTGCAGATGGTTTACCTCATTGCTTTTTGCTCTTCCTCCATCTGCTCTCTGACTTGCTGTAGCTCCTTTAGCAGGTCCAGATCTGTGCCGTTCACCCAGGTGTAAACCACATCAATTGGCATGGGCAGACAGAGCCTAGGGTAAACCCACAAGTCCTCCAGTTTAAATGCACCTTTGCCAGTATATTTGGGAAAAAGATTGCAACAAAATTTATATTTAAGATTTTAAATTTAGATATTATCAAAAGAAAATGAATGAAAAGACTATACAACTGTGGCATGCAGGAAAAGAACTGCATGTTTTCCTGGAGCTAAGATTGGGGGTGGGTAGTATTTGTCAAACACCTTCTCTGTGAATTAATTGCATTATGTTAGAAACTTCATGAAGTTGGCATCATTTGATCTCAACAACCACCTTATAAAGAGGTTGATATTTTCTATTTTAAGGATTACTTGGGGTGCAGGGGGAGCTAATGAGATGGCTCAGTGAATTAAAAGCTCTTGCCACACAAAGACCTAAAGAACGAAGCTCAATCCCTGTGAACACACATAAAAGGCAGAAAGAGAGCATTGATTCCTCAGAGCTGTCCTCTGACCTCCACACTTGCACCAGGCCATGCTTTACCCCTCCATCACCATACACACACACACACACACACACACAGAGAGAGAGAGAGAGAGAGAGAGAGAGAGAGAGAGAGAGAGAGAGACTAATAATAAGTGAAGTAAAAAAATTTTTAAAAGACTATTTGAGGCTGGGTATGGTTGCACATGCCTTTAATCCCAGCACTTAGAAGGCAGAGGCAAGAAGATTTCTACGAATTGAAGGTTCAGCCTGGTTGGTCTACATAGTAAGTTCTAGGCCAGTCAGTCAGGGTTACATAGTGAGATCCTATCTCAAAAAAAAAAAAGGAGGGGGCAGTGTGGATAAATGGTCAGGGGTTAAGAACACTGGCTGCTCTTGCAGAGAACATAGGTTCAGTTCCCAGTACCCACATGGTGGCTAACAACTGTCTGTTAACTCCAGTTCTAGGGGATCCAATGCCCTCTTCTGGCCTCCACAGGCACTGCATGACACAGGCACACTAACACACAGGGAAAACACACACTTAAAAATCCACTGCTGGTGGGATTACAAACTTGTTCAACCCCTATGGAAAGCAGTGTGGAGAACTCTTAAAAAACTACAAATGAACCTACCATTTGACCCAGTTATACCACTCCTTGGCATATAACCAAAGAACTCATCCTATTGCAGAGACACCTGTACATCCATGTTTGTTGCTGCGCTTTTCACAATAGCTAAGAGATGGAAGCAACCTAAGTGTCCCCCAATTGACAAGTGGATAATGAAAACATGGTTCATTTATACGATGGAGTTTTACTCAGCAGTAAAGAAAGATGAAATCATGTAATTTGCAGGTAAATGGATGGAATTAGAAACTGTTATTATACTACGTGAAGAAACACAGCCGCAGAAAAAAACAACAACAACAACAACAACAACAACAACAACAACAAAATTATATAGTCTCCCTCATCTGTGGATCCTAGCACCAAATCCTTATAAATGAGTATGTATCCTGACATAACTACAGGAATCAGGATAATGAAAAGGAAACAGGGAGGTAAAGGAAAAGAAAGAACCTGAAAGAGAAGAACAGTAGGGAACAGGCATTAATAAGGGAGATATGGATAAAAATGGGGTTATTTTAAGGGGAGGAAGGGTAATACAAGGAAACTTGGGGATAAAGGGAAAGAAGGAGCTCAAGAGAGGTGGGACCATAGGAGAAGGTTATTATTAAGGAACAAATGGGAAAAATGGGGGCACTTTAAATGGGGAAAACACAGTGGAAGGGTTAGACAATGTGAGAGATAAATAATGCTTAGCTAATTTTAAAAAACCAGAGGGAACCATATTAACTGAACAACCTACTGACAAATTATACATACAACTAGCTCAAAGAATATAATACATGTCTAGACAAGGTTTATCTGAGAACAGTTGGTCTTTTTCCAAGCTCTATCTACATAGTACATTGTGATTAAAAGTATCAGACTGGTGGAACTAACCTTCTTGGATGTCTAATAGCCATACTTTGAGGCCTATACTAATTTGGCCAGAGGGACTTAAAGGACAGTTTTTGTTCCTTGCCCTCCTAGGTTAACTAAACTCCAGGGGACTATGTAGCATCTCTCAAAATGTCCTGTAACTGTGATGCGTCACCTGTCCTCTTGATCAAGGAGGCCATGGAGACCCCACCAAATGGACTTGAACCAGTGTCCAGTCTACAAAGAGGAGGTTCAACACAGAGGAATCATTTCCTCCATCCTCCCAAGTGAAGCCAGCCATGGTGGTGCAGGACCTTTGACTTATCTTCACATAGGCAGAACTGGTAAAAGAAAGGAGCCAGGAGCTCCTTCCAAGCCCATGTGACCTCTGAGGAACAGATCCTCAAACAACCTTAAAGGTGAAAATAAATTGGTTTATCTGGGCCAATTGTATGGTCTTAAACACCCAAAAGGAAAGTACAACCACAGATTAAAGGGATCAATATAATTCTTTAAGAGTCCATGTGGATAGCTAAAAGCTACATTAACAAGAAACGATGCCAGATAGGAGATACCTTCCTTCGAGTTGGTGGCCAGGGTGGCCAAAGAGACTCCCAGACAGTAACTCAGCATAGAACCGGGAAAATGAACAGCAGACCCCAATCTTATCTAAAGGAATATTGGCAACTGATCTGCTAGATGAGGAAGAGGTGATCTTCCTACAACAAGTAACTCCAGATAGGCTGACTAGATTCAGAGGATGGACAGACACTGGGGAACGGCTGGGGGTGCTGGCAACACAGTGGGCAGTAACAGGGATGACAGAGTATACAGGCTCCAGTGGGGGTTGGGGGGGGACAGGGATTACAGAGTATATGGGCTCTAGTGGTGGTGGGGGAGACTATAGGAGGGTGCCATTTGGGATGTGGGTATATAAATGAATAAGATTGTTTGGGATGTTCTGTATGAAATACACACAAAGAAATCAACAAATTAAAAAAAATTAGTTACGTTAATTAGTAGAGGTGAAACACATTAACATTGAAATCTATCTGACGACTTTATATCCATGCTCAGATGCCAAGGATCTCAGAAAGTAACAGACTGTGACTGGTAATAATCAGATATATAGAGATTAGAAACACATGTGCATCGTAGTGTAAATTGTATTAAAAATGAATTTTTCTGTATGAAACTGTATTTTAATAATGAAATGGAGATCTTTTTAAAGTTTAAAACCTCATTTAATTTTATATCTTAGGATTTATACTGAGTTCAATATTGTATAACTGTATTAATTCAACTGTGAACCTAAAAATTACAGCCAATTTTGAAATAGATGCAGCTTTGCTCTGGAAATTGTTACTGAATATGTTAATGCTGTAATGAAATGCTTATTCTAATCATGTGGTTATTAAATAATTCTAAAAATTAAAAAGAAAATTAGCTGGGCGGGGTGGCACACGCCTTTAGTCCCAGCACTCAGGAGGCAGAGGCAGGTGGATCTCTGTGAGTTCGAGGCCAGCTTGGTCTCCATAGTGAGTTCCAGGACAGCTGGGGCTACAGGGAAACCTTGTCTCAATAAGACAAAAAAATAATTAAAAAAATTTTTTTTAAAGATTATTTAGGAGTAAATCTAAGAACAAAATCGCTGCATAGGGGCCTTAAGGGGTCACGTAGGATAGGGAGTTGATTGCTCAGTGGGCATGGGGTCTCCATTTGGGGTGATAAAAGTTCTGGAACTATGTGGTGGCAGCAGTCCACAACACTGAGTACAGTAGATGCTACTCAACTGCCCACTTTAAAAATGGTTTAAATGAGGCCAGGCATGGTGGCACACGCCTTTAATCCCAGCACTTGGGAGGCTGAGGCAGGTGGCTCATAGCAAGTTCCAGGCCAGCTGGGGCTACAGAGAGACCCTGTCTCAAAGAAAAAGAAAATGGTTTAAATGGGAAGTTTCACATTATGGCATATTTTGCTACAGTAAGAAAATGTCAGAGTGAGAATAAAGATTATTTTGGAATAAAGGTCATAGAACTCAGTTTCAGTGAGATAATCTATCACTCTTATATTTTCACAAATGAAGGAGCTGGCAGCCAAATGTGGCCAAATATTGGAAAAACAATGAGCTTAAAGAACAGAACAAGGAAATGGAAGTGATCCAATAGTCCTGATGTCCAGGCCTAAGTAATGCCGCAGCCTCTGAGCTGAACGTCCCCACCTGCCCGTCTCACCTTACTCCTCTTTTCCTTTGTCTCACAGACTTGTCATCTTTCGAACACATTCAGTACCTACCCGGCTGCCACTACTGTCAATTACACATGCCCTTCACAAGAATGGCAGCTCTGAGAAGGCAGGAAACGTTCCTGCTCTGCTTCCCAAAGCACGAGAGGGGGCAGCACAGGACCGGGCACAGAGGCAACCAGCACTGCTCCATTATTTCTTAATCATCCTCAAGGAAAGAACTCAGGTTCCAGCCTTGCCTTAGTGTTTCTTTTCAGGTTTTAACCATTAAAAACATTTTTGTCCTTTATCTCACTGACTTGCCAAAAATCCAATTTACCAAAACTCCATGACTTTGACCCATGACAGAGATTTCATGTCTGTGTTTGCATGTTGACATTATTTTAGATGGTTGTGTCCAAGTCTGGTATTTTCCAAATGACTGACAGTTGTTTTGTTTTCTGAGTGCCACACCTTACCCTTTGTGATGGTTAATTCTGATTATCAATTTGATTAGATTAAGATGGACCAGGACTTTAGGGAGGCTCATGTTTGGGTGTGTCTATGAGGGCATTTACAGAAAGGATTAACTAGGGGGGAACAGCACCATCGCTACTGGCTGGGGTGCCAGAATAAATAAAAAGGGAAAAAGGAGCAAACTAGTTGAGCTCTGCATTCATTTCCTTTTAGCAGCCTCTCCCCCCCCCCCCACCCGCTGTGAAGCCACCCCTGCCACCATGCTTCCCCCTTAGCACCATGAGCCAAAATAAACCTTCCCTTCCTTAAGGTGCTTTTTGTCAAGTGTTTGGTTACAGCAGTAAGAAAATGCACATTCCCTTTGTCCTTCATGAAGCCTGGCCA